CACAAAGTGGTGGTGTACGACTTAGTTTGGGCTGCCATAATAAAAGTAGCACAGAATGGATGGCTTAACCAAACAGGAACTTATTTTATCACACTTGTGGAGGCAGAAAGTCCAAGATCAAGGTACTACCTGGGTTGGCTTCTGGTGAGAGCTCTCTTCCTGGCTTGCAGACACCTGCCGTCTTTACTGTGCCCTCATTGTGTGTTTGTGCAGGGGGTAGAGACTAAGTGTGCTCTGCTGTCTTTTTCTTCTTTCATAAGGAAATCAATCTTATCATAAGTCTCCACCCTTATGATTTCATTTAACCTGAAAAACTTCCTAATAATCCTAGCTCTAGATAAAGTCATGCTGGACTTGAGCTTTGAGATATAAATTGCCTGTAAGGGTCAAGTAGTCGTCCTCTTGAGGGGTAGATGGAAAAAATGGACACTGAGTAGGGCAGATGTATGCCAGTCATTGCTGAGCCATGACCTTGCTTGACTCTTACACAACCAGTTCATGCAAGACAGTGAGAGGCTCATAGGTGTGAGTACCCAGATGGTAAGAGATCAAGAAAGAATTCCAGTTGGAATTTTTGAGCTCTTGCTGCATTTATACTGGAAGGAATTTGTCTTGAATGCTTGATGAATTCATAGGTCTTCATCATTAGGTTTTAAGCTTTCAGGAAGTCTGCTTAGTAGGCCCATGGAAGGTAGTGGTAGAGGGGATCCAGGAAGATTTCTGAATAGTGAAACGTCATGATCAGGGATGTAGAACTGTGCTTTGCAGAGGTAACTGGATATACGGATGGGAGGTGGTGACTTATGGGATGGGGAAATGAGACCATATAGGAAAATATTATATAAGGTCTGGTGATATGGTTAAGTGGGTAAAAGCATCTGTCACCAAGCCTGAAGATCTGAGTTCAGTGCTTGGGACCCACATGATGAAAGGAGAGAACTGACTCCTGCAGATTGTCCTCTCACTTTCACATGTGTGCCTTGGCACACAAGCCCCATCCCACTTACATGCATGCTCATGCACACACACACACACGCACACATGTACACACACACACACACACACAATAAGTAAATAAAACTATTGCATAGTCCTACTGAGAGATAATGGCAGGCATCCAAGTACTGGATGCCAATGTACTTCAAAGGCAGAGTCAGGGTTTTGTAAATGAGTGCAGGTCACCAGGAAGGTTGGAGTTCAGAATGAGGCTAAGGTGGTGTCCCTGACAGAAACGAACCTAGCCTGGTTCCAGTACATTCTAACATCTGCAAAGTTCTCCTGGCCTTAATCTGTCCCTTTCTCAGATGGTGAGGGGAGGATCTTAGGACAGCCTGAGATGTCTTAAAGTCCAACATCTTCCTTGGCGGGGGGAGATATTAGAGAAGTCTTGAATTTAAGAGTGAGTTCGGTTAATAATTTCTGACAATTATATATTTAATTGTGCAACATTAGGCTTAATAGTTTGTCAAGCAAGAGATGATGAGTGATTAGATAATGGTTCAAGACAGGTGGGCTGGTATAATTAGGACATTTCTTTGCAGTAATCTTCCCTTTGGTATTTTATATCTATCTATCTATCTATCTATCTAT